CTGGGCGAGGTTCGACCTCGCCCAGCTAGGGGCTGGCAAGGGCGAGCTTTGTACCTCGTCGGCCGTCACCTCTAGCTAGTCGTCGGACCTACCAGAGGGAAGAAGGCCAGAAAAAAAAAAAGGAAAAATATATATATTAAAAAATTCAAAAAAAAATATTAAAATTTGCCACGTCAGTAGTGACCGGACGGCCGGAGTCCACGTCAGCTCCGAACGACTAAAATTGGCCGGATGGACTCAATTGGCAAGAAGTGAAAAGGTTTAGAATTCAATTAGCAAACTTGAAAGATTTATGACTGAATTGGCAAAAGTGCAATAGGTTTATGACTTTTTGAACAATTTTTCCACTTCAAATCACTTGCAATTTCTTCAAGATGTAATTCGCGAGCACGCGGCACAATTGATTGTTAGGGCTAAAGTTTTGGTTTTAGCAAACTAGAGTGAGCTGACCCTAGCCGAATCAAAATAGGAAACCTACTCATATTAAAAAATCTACTTGGATCAGGTTTCCGTTACGGCCTTTAACTCGAGTCGTATTCTCAACAAGAACAATGAACAATGAATTCTGATAGCAAAATTATTTGGCTGCATTTGGTAGTTCAGATTTAAGTCCAGATAGGATAACAAATAACCTCATCCGATGTTTGGGGACATCCTCCAGACCGAATAAACTGGGATATGTCCAGATAAAATGGCAGATAAAAAGTCCGGAGTAAGAGGTGGGATAGACTCAGATAGTATGAAAAAATATGAAAAAAAAAAATTTCAGAAGAAGGACGACGACCAGTTGTTTCTTTCTACTGTGATGATTGGCACCACAATTGTTGTCAATGGTGGCGCAGCACTGTCTCCGGCGAGTGAATTGTGCCGATGGAAGAGTTTGTTGGAATCCGGCTCATTGGACTCCATTGCGATGGTTGATTTCTAATCAAAACCAGAGGCAAGGAAACACCTGCAGTCCGCTTGTCTCGACGAACTCAGATTCACATCTCTTGATGGGATCAATATTGGTGCTGATCCCTGATCACCAATCGCTTTGATATCTTCGCGCTAGACCACTGCAATGACGACTGTGAAGATTTGTTTGTAAATCCTGAAGTCATCCTTCTCTCCATTAGTGATTGTTTAAGCAGTCTCGATAAAAGGAAGTGACGGCAAGATCAGAGCATGTGGGTTCATGGGTCCTCTTTTATTTTGCCATAGCTTGGTAGGTTCTTTAATTTTCATGATCTCAATCGACTGCTTTAGAGAAGAACTTGGCGAGAAGATTTTAGGTGGAGATGGAGACTTCACGTAGCATCGTCAAAGATGGAGACTTTGTGATGGGTCGCAATGAGATTACCATCGGAGATAAAGTCTCACCAGTGGCTGTGTAGTAGCACCGCCACCACCCAACCCTTCATCCCTACACCTTTTGCAACTCCGCCCTTTGTCGGCCCTAGGTTTCAAACACAATAGTGCTGATAAGTACATATATTCTAAATTCACTAAAGACTATGGTGTATTAGTGTGCTTATATGTTGATGATATGCTTATCTATGGAACTAATATGACTGGAATCATTGAGACTAAGAAGTATCTAACTTCCATGTTTAAAATGAAAGATTTAGGTGAAGTGAATACTACCTTAGGTATTAAAGTTAAAAAACATAGTGGGGGTTATTCTTTGAGCCAATGTGATTACATTGAAAAAATGTTAAATAAATTTGAACATCTTGGTTTCAAAGATATGAGTACTCCATTTGATTGGAGTATTAAATTAAATTATAATACTAGTAGAGCAGCGCAACAACTTGAATATGCAAGTATTATAGGGTCTTTAATGTAAGCGATGCATTGTACTAGACCTAATATTGCCTTTTCCGTGTGTAAGTTGAGTAGATATACTAGTAATCCAAGTATAGAATATTGGAAAGCTGTTACCAGAATTTTTGGTTATCTTAAGAGAATTAAAAATTTGAGATTATTCTATAATAATAATCCGACTGTATTAGAAGGATACACCGATGCTAGTTGGATTACAAGTGTGGGTGATAAATATTCCACTTCTGGATGGATTTTCACATTAGGTGAATGTGCTGTATCTTGGGCGAGCAAGAAACAGACATGCATATCACGCTCAACTATGGAATATGAATTTATTGCTTTAGTTACAACTGGGAAAGAGGCTGAATGGATTAGAAATTTGTTGTTGGATATCAAATTGTGGCCTAGTCCTATGCCTCCTATTTCTGTTTATTGTGACAGTCATGTTACTTTGGCAAGAGCTTATAGCAGCACCTATAATGGCAAGTTTAGACATATTAATCTAAGACATGAGTATGTAAGACAATTAATTCATGATGGTACCATAACAATTGTCTACGTAAGATCGAGCAAGAATCTAGCCAATCCTTTTACAAAGGCCTTACCAAGAGATGTGGTAAAGATGACCTCAAAAGAAATGGGGTTGAAACCCTTTAATCAAAATTACCAATAATGGTAACTCGACCTAATACTAGAAAATCACTAGTTATAAGGTTTAATGGGTAAGAAAAAGTTACTAAAAGTTATTGTTTGATACTAACAATAGCCCGGACATGAGAAGTTGGTATCGTCTGTTACGTTTTATAGAATGAATTAAATTCTTAATGAAATATATTACAAAGTGTTATTAGTAACAGACTAAATACTTCACCTATATGAGCTTAGAAGTGGTGTCGCTTTTTACGAAAGTTAGGGTTGCTTTCTAGAGAGCTCATGAAACAGATACAAACACAAGGCCATAATAGTGCTAAGTAAATTAGAAATTCTCGCTGAAATAAGAGGTTGGTATATGTGTGATATATCCAATTATATTATTAGAGTGGCAAGTTTAAAGCATAGCTACTTAAACTTTTATAGAATTTTGAGGTACTTGCACTAAGTAAAGGTTTGACTCGAAAGAGACCTTTATGTATGTATATTAATCTCATGAAATTCTCGGCTGTATATTTTTTAACATTTTATTTTGTAATTTTGTTTTACAAACAAAGTAGGGGCATTGTTGATTGTTTGTTTGTAAAACAAACAAAATAATACTTTTCCTTGTCCCACATAGGAAAGTTTTGATTGTGGACCACTATATTAGTGTGGATGTCTTCTAACTTGTTCAATTGAAGACGATGGGCTATGGTTAGATCACACAATACCCGTGTGCGGGTGCGCGTTTTTGGCAAACTTAGCACTTTGGGCGCTTGCGAATGATAATTAGCACTAATCATCGTTTATAAATTTTTATTTATTAAATTTTGAATAATAACAGTTTTATCCTATTGAAATAGTGTGACTGTTTGCAATAGAGTTGCAGTTATTTTTTTATTAATTAATTTCGAAATTTATTATTTTGTCTAACAGTTATTAGGCGTTCTTACAACTTTTAGAATAATTGTGTCCCTTAAGATATAACAACTTCACTTTTGGAAGATTATGTCTTTTCAAACATAACTCCATCATTTTTGAAAGGTTGTATTTGTTCAAAGATTATTTTTTCATAATTTATAAAATTCGGAATAATAAAAATAATAATTTATTTTATTATTATTTTAATCCGAATTTTATTATGTCTTTTGAGAAGGCATCTTTTGACAATGCAACTTCTCACGAAAGGTTGCATTCGGTTCAAAAAGACTGCAATATATATTCATATTTTTCAGTCTGTTTTCACTAACTTTTTTATACTACTTTCTCAAAACAATACAACCATCTTTTCCAATTGTTCCCCTTGAAAGACCCCGGAGAAATACTATAATTGTTATCTGGTATTTTCATTCAAAACTTTGTTGTATCCTGGAGAATTTTTGCCAGTGAGCATTAGCAACGTTGTGGGGCAAATAATTCCTTAAAAAGAGTGTTATCACGCCTCAAAGTCTAATTCCATTTTCTTCCCATTCCGTTTCCGTGAACATTTTTCTTCCTCTTGTTTTGTTGTTCCCTTTTCTGCTTCTTCTCTTCTTCATCGCAACCAACTGGTCCTCCTCCTCCTCCCCGTGCACAGTTGATCATTGTTACTCGCGCTAAGGGTGACCAAAAAAAGATTCAAACCGCAAAACAAACCAAACAGCACCGTGCCCACCCCTACTCTCTCTCTCTCTCTCTCTCTCTCTCTCTCTCTCTCTCTCTCTCTCTCTCTCTCTCTCTCTCTCTAAGGTTGCTCTAAGGTTGCAACCTCAATGGAAGTCATCGGCCTTCAGCAGTCAGAGTTTGAAGGTTTATTGAGGTGGGCGACCTCCCCCTCGAAAGCGATTTGAGCAGTGATTGCCAAAGCTCACGTTGAGATTTTGAATTTGTAGAGCTTCGATCTTGCAAGCGCACATGAATGAGGAGACAGTGGTGGTGATGATTGATCATGTGGGCCGCATCGTGGAATCTACATGATTAATGATTTAGATGAAATCGGTCTGCATGTGCTAACTTGAGTTGCTATAGAAATGGTTTCCGATAGTATTTATAAATTAGAATGAAGTGTCAGTAAGAATTCCTATAAGGTTTTATTTGTGAGATTATTGGGTATTACCGCGCCTTTGGAAACGTAAAGAGTGTTTTTAAGTGATGCAATTGAATAATCTTAATTTATATATTGTAGCACTCGTTTCATAAGGAACTCTTCCTCTCCTCGCAAAACGTCGATCTTGTGTTTATTTACTCTTTCTTTGGTTTTGATCAGTTTCCTAACATCTTAATGGAGAAACAAAGAGCCCATGAAATTTTACAACGCTAGGCTAAGTACTATCTGAACTGATATTGCCTAGCGACAGTTCATATGGACTGAATCCATCATAAGGTTAGGAGAGTCCTCGTCAAATAACAGCTTCACTTGAACTTCTATGGTTATATAGACAAACTCTTGCTTCTTAACATTACTTAAACGGTCGAAATGCTTATAGTTATTGCTTTTTGAATCTAATATATCATCGGCAAACCTTTAATCAAAGCAACGAACAATCACAAACAAAAGAGAGAGTAGATTCAAGAGAGAGAGAGACACGAAAACAGATCAGAGAGTTCAGCACTTACTAAGTAGTGCTGATCACTCCCTGTTTATTTATGCTTGTTTATTTGGATATTCGAAACACAAGCAGACATCATAGTTCTTCTTCCTCTTCTTTCGTAGGGCTTAGGCCTTGACGAGGTGAGCATCGATGTCTTTGGTCATGTTCGCCATGAAATCGAGATACTTGACTGGGTGTGGCATGCTCTCGTTCAACTTCTCGTACTCGATGATCATCTTGACGACGTCTGGTCCTCCAGCCCCATGGACGGCCTTCCAGATGGCCTTGTAGGTCTTGTAATAGTTGAACACCTCGCCTTCGATGCCGACGTGGGTTATGCTCTTGTTCTGGTCGTCAAACTGGACCTTCTCCTTGAATGTCTCCTTTCTCCCTTCTGCACAAATTCCACAACCCCACATGAGAATTGGAGGGCCAAAAAACAAAAGACCAAGTAATGAATGATTCTTCTTCTTTTCCTTTCATATATATATGCTTCTGAGTTTATATTCATGTTTCAAATGCATTAGTCATTGGACCAATCAAAGAGAACTTGGATATCTTTCTGCGTCGCTTCCCGTGTTCCATGATCACTTTAATTGGTGGCGGACTAAGTATATGGAATGTAGATGATCTCAAAGTGCTAGCTACATACACAGCGGAGGAAAGATCCAGCTCTATATCCATGCATTTCAATGCGATGGAACGGGAAAAATTGTCCAAAAAGTCTTAAACCTATATTTTTTTTTTGCCAATTCAATCATAAACCTTTCAACTTACCAATTGAATCATAAATCTTTTAAACAATTGTCAATGTAGTCTATCCGGTCAATTTTGGTCGGAAATCGCTAACGTGGACGCCGGCCGTCTTACGTGGCACTACCAACACTAACGTGAACAAATTTATTAATTTTTAATATTTTCCATTTTTTATTTTTTATTATTTTTCTTTTCTTTTTTTTCTCTTTCTTCCTCCATCGGTTGCCGAGCCTCGTCAATGGCAGGCGACCAGCCAGAGGCTATGACCAGCAAGGGGTGACCTCGTCGGTCCCGAGCAAGGTCAGGCCTTGCCCAAGGTCAAGGAGGTCGTCCCTCGCCAAATCACAATGAGGCCAACCCTTGCCCCCCCCTACCTTAGGCCAATGAGGGCGACCCTTGCTGATCATAGCCTCTGGCCAGTTGGTAGCCGTCGGCGAGGCTGGGCAACTAGCGGAGGAAGAAAGAGAAGAAAAAGAAAGAAAAAAATATTTAAAAAATCGAAAAATTAATAAAAATTTGTGCACATCAACGCCGGCCATGCCAAGTAGGATGGCCACCGTCCACGTTAGCAATTTGGCTGGATAGACTATATTGATAAATTTTTAAAAGGTTTAGGACTCACTTGGTACATTAAAAGATTTAGGTCCGAATTGATGAAAGTGCAATAAGTTTGGAACTTTTTAGACAATTTTTCGAACGGAATGACTATAGTGAGAAAGAAACGAAACGCGTGCTTGTTAAATTGCAATCGATTCTGTGCCTACTAAATCTAGGCCAAACTTAAAGAAATCTCTCAAACCACGAAAGAGGGTGCTCACCGACAGAGTAAGTCCACTTCCTAACGGAGCCCGCAGAGAGCCATTCACCTTCATGGATCTCCCCAGCGTGCAGCTCAGTGCAAGCTTTAGGAAGGTGGTGTGGGGTGTTCCTGAAGAAGCCGTAGAACTGAGCAGCGGATGACTTGAGATCCACCTCCACCTCCACCTTTCCTCTCACTGCCATTGTCTCCTCTTCTGAGAAAAAAAAAGTACCCAACAAGATGAAAGCGACGATATGTAACTTTCCAAACTTGGTGAGTACCTGGTGAATGGCGATAGCTAGTTTGTGCCCTCATTATATAGAAAGAAGAAAGGACCTCATCCTTGCGCCACGATATGTCATTAATTCCCCAGCGACGTCTTTGCATTATTGGTTGTATCAATCAAGATGGTCCCGCTCCATTGAATTGATTATTAAAAAGAAAAAAGTTGGAGTTGTGTATACTTACTTCGTAAATCACGTGTTTTGGATTTGCTTCATCGAGAATCACTCGTTCTCCTGATGGGGGAGATGAACAGCAAAGCAAGTAGCTCGTGCTGCATAATTTTATTTCAGTATCTACCAATTACTATGCGAGTACACGAGATTTGAAATTAGTTTAGCACAATGGTATTGTCGGATGTAATAAGGGAAGTTGGTTATTCGCCCCTTCAGTCTCATTAGTAACGTCGGTACGTGTTTCGACTAACATCCTGTTTAGTTTGTTGGGGTTGTGTTTCTACCCAATTTGTTGTATTTTTAGTGTTGTCACGTAATAGTGCTTGTATACGCAAAATAAAGTTATTCGACAAATCTGAAGTCACGTTCTGACGAGTAATCTGAATGTCGACGAATGATCCGAGCCCAACGAATTCACGTTGTGTCCTTAAGACAATTTGTCCCCTCTACCCGTACCCAAGGTTGTTGAACAATTGTCTCCCAGGATAGAACGGATCGCCTTTCCAAAGAAGCGGTACTTCTTCAAAGGAAATGTTCAAATGCAACTTCGCAGAATAATCGCACAAATGACAATGATGAAGAAACGGAAAAATAAAAATGTCTAGAGTGCGTCGGGAAAAGAGTCTCGCGGGAATAAAATGCCACGAAGAGTCACTCAGACCGAACTTAACAGTTCGGTTATATATATGGCGAAAATGAAGAGTCGCAAGCAATGAAGACTCGCTTGCGGTTTCCGTGAACAGTCGCGAAGGCTCACTTGAACCGAAGCGGTTTTTTCCGCTCGGGCCGTGAATAGTCGTGAGTTTCGATTTTCGTTCGGGCGAATCGACCCTCACGAACAGACATGTTTGTTTGTCCAAAATAAATAAATAATTTCTAACAAAACGTGTCTATTCGGGAAAAAATAAAAACCGATGGAATGGACCCGGGCCCGGACGGCGGCGGCGGCGCGCGGGGGGGAACCGACCTAGCTTGGTATAGGTCTTCTCCTTTCCACAAAAGTGGGGTACTCCTTGGGGCCCAAACCCATTTGAAAGGCTCATCTAAATAAATCATCTCCCATCACAACTTCTATCCAATGTGGGACTATTTCCATCCACACTTCTCGTTCACAATTTATGAATTTTGGATACTAAAATCTCAATATTTAGCTCATTGCTTTATAATGTGATGAGGCGGAGGTTGTTCTCATCACTGCCGGTGGCCGACGTAATGGTGGCGTCGTCAAAGCTTGGAAGAAGAGAGAGAGACAGGAAAGTTAGGATTTGGTGAAAAGAGGTGCCTATCTTTCTCAAATGGATAGTACTTAAAATGTTTTGTCACGTTTCTTTGGGTCCATACAAAGTTGTGTAGACCTTGCCTACGAAGAAACGCAGAGTCGATTGATTTTACAAGTTTGGGTACTTCATTTCTTTCTGCTCCTGAAGTAACTTCCATTTGCACGCAAATTATTTCCGTCGGTGACTGCAATGTGCCACTATCTTATCTAAAGATCGCAGTCAAAGAAGTTCTAACATGCATTGAGAATATAATAATAGGTTGCCAAGATTTCGTGATCTGCTGCTGCCAATCATGTTGTTACATGCACGTCAAGATGCATTGTATCTATCTATCTACCAATCAAAAGGTCTACTGTGCAAGCTCTCAGTGTACAGTAGACTAGAAGGACAGGTCTGAAGGTTTGTTTCATGGGAGGAAAACGAAATGCAGATCAGCAACTTGGAACCACAAACACTTGTTTCGATGTCAGTAGGATACGGGGAGAGAGCTAACAACTAACCAAGATACAATTATACACAGCCTGTAGCTGGTTTGGCTGACCTGCTTTTGAAGTTTCTGTGCTGTATATTGACTTGATAAACAATAATCGATAACATCAGTTTTGAACAATCCAATAATATTAATATATAAGCCGATCGTGGCTCCTTTAAAGCCATGAAGTGAGGATGGCCGGTTCCAAAACCAAAAGCCCAGTGCGATCCGCAAGAACAGCAAAACGAAGAATCCGGAAGGAGAGCAATAAACTCCTTCATTTGAACTTTGGGACGCTAAATTCAGAGGCATATTCTAGAGTGAGAGAAAAAAATGTAGTCGGCTAAGTTCGTATATCAGAAATTAAAATCAAACGTTAGGAAAAAACTAACCTGAAAGCAGTACAACCAAATAAGCAGAATGTTGATCCGAGCCCAACGAATTAACGTCGTGTCCTTAAGACGAATTTGGCCCCTCAATCGCACTGAGGATATTGGACAATCGTCTCCCAGGATAGAACGGATCTCGTTCCTCCGAAGCGGTACGTATTCGGAGGACTCCAACGAACGCAATTTTGCAGAACAATCGCACCAAATGACAATGATGAAGTGAATATGCGTAGAGTGCGTCTGGAAAAAATGAATGCCACGAAGTGATATATATATTCCGAACTAAACTGTTCGGTCTTATTCAAGTGACGAAAAATGAAGAGTCGCGAGTTTTCGTGAATAGTAGCGAAGGGCTTCGGTTTTCGTTCGGGCGAACCGAACCTCACGAACAGACATGTTTGTTTGTCCAAAAATAAATAAATAAATAAATAATTTCTAAACAACGTGTCTGTTCGAAAACTAAAAAATAAAAAACCGATAGAGAGTGGACCCGGAACCGAACCGAACCGAGCCGGCCGGACGGGCGGCGGGCGCGCGGGAGGTGGACCGACCTAGCTTGACGTAGGTCCTCTCTCTTCCACAAAAGTGAGGTACCCCTTGGGGCCCAAACCCATTTGTGAGGCTCAACTATTTGAACCCATCTCCCATCTCTCTTCTACCCTATGTGGGACACTTTCACCCACACACTTCTCATTCAATTCTATGGGATTTTGGTTCCAAAATCCCAACAATCCCCCACATGAATGAGAAGTTCAGATATCATGACTCTTTGTGTATGCATGAGATGCAATGTGCGATTATTCCATGAGAAAACGTTGCATCAGGATAAGTAGTCTGAGACCTTGAACTTTCCTTAGTGAAACCTATCGGACTTACTCAGTCAATCAGTAGACTTGATGTCTTTGAACTGTCGACCTTTGGTGTAAGCCTAGACAATAGAAATCACACAACTGTTTCTCGAACAAAATTGGTTCTCACTGTTGTGTTCGTTTTGGCCATGAACACCGCCTGGTCTCATGAGTGTTTTAGAGAATTCGGCCTTTTCAATTCTCACAGAAGCGGCCCTCACTTCACACTCACATAGGTGATTTCTGAACATATAGTATATCACATACTCAATTCAGAATCATTAAAAGCTTTTGCTTAACCTTCACATATTAGTATCTTGTCTTCATCCGGAATGAGTAAAAATTTAACAAGATCTACACTTGTCTTCATAACTTAGTTGTCCCTTTGAACCTAGATCGTGGGATCTCCAGTCAACTAGGTAGGGTTTCCGCTATGATGACTTGTTTATAGGCCTTAAACCCATTCCCCTTGATGTTTTTGCAACCATCTCTCCAGTTAGGCCTTTTGTCAATGGATCCGCAATATTATCTTTTGACTTCACATAGTCAATGGTGATAATTCCACTAGAGAGAAGTTGTCTTACTGTATCATGTCTTCGACGTATGTGTCGAGACTTACCGTTATACATGACATTCCTTGCTCTTCCTATTGCCGCTTGACTGTCACAATGTATACATACAGCGGGCACTGGTTTAGGCCAATTAGGAATATCTTCCAAGAAATTTCGAAGCCACTCTGCTTCTTCACCGGCTTTATCCAAAGCAATAAATTCCGATTCCATAGTGGATCTAGCAATACAAGTTTGTTTGGATGATTTCCAAGACACTCGCCGCTCCCCAAGTGTGAATACATATCCACTTGTCGATTTTGTGTCTTTAGTGCCGGTTATCCAATTTGCATCACAAGTATCCTTCAAGTACCGCTGGATATTCGTGTAATGCAAAGCATAATCTTGAGTATGCTTTAAGTAGCCCAATAAACGTTTCATTGCTTTCCAATGATTTTCATTTGGACTAATCAGTAAATCGACTTAGCTTGCTAACCGCACAAGCTATGTCCGGCCTAGTACAGTTCATGACATACATTAAACTGCCTAGTATACTAGCATACTCATTTTGAGCCTTACTTTCACCAGTATTCTTCGAAAGATGTAAATTAACATCTATAGGAGTCTTTACCGGTACAATATCTAGATTCTTGCACTTTCCAAGAATCGTCTCAATATAATGGGATTGTGATAGAGTTAATCCTCCATATGTTTTATGGATTTTAACTCCTAAAATAACATCTGCAACCCCCATATCTTTCATATCAAATTTACTTGTGAGCATGCGTTTGGTTGCCTTAACAACCTCACTATCGCTGCCCATTATAAGCATGTCATCTACATATAAGCACAAAATGGCAAAACCATTATGAGTGTTCTTAACATATACACATTTATCACACTCATTGATCTTGAAACCATTCGACAACATGACTTGGTCGAATTTAGCATGCCATTGTTTCGGTGCTTGTTTCAATCCATAGAGTGACTTGATAAGCCGACATACTTTCTTCTCTTGACTTGGAACAATGAACCCTTCGGGTTGTTCCAAATATATTTCTTCTTCCAAATCCCCGTTTAAGAAGGCCGTCTTAACATCCATTTGATGGATTTCAAGCTTATACACCGCTGCTATGGCAATTAGCATCCTTATGGATGTAATTCTAGTAACAGGTGAATAAGTATCAAAATAATCAAGACCTTCTCGTTGCTTGTATCCTTTTACTACAAGCCTAGCCTTATATTTATCAATAGCACCATCCGCTTTCATTTTCCTCTTGAAAATCCACTTACATT